GCGCAATCATTTTGAAATTTTTATCATTTACTTATTATGCTTCATTAAGTACTTATACAAAATTTTATTAAAGTAAAACCATTTAAACTGGGTGTTCGGATTTATATGTCACTTAGTATAGTTTAATATCATATTATTTGATAATAATTCTGTTAATATGATGTCTAAACAATGTATTTCAATGTGTTATAAAAGAAAAAAATATTTTGTAACCGTAAAGAAATAAACAAACTTTGAGAAAAAATTACATAATGTCTAAACTATTTTGTCTTAGGGCTCATACTATGCCCAGGATGAAAGAGCTTCGTAGTTTCTGAAAAAGTGGTTGCGGAACTAGGAGCAAAACACGAAAAAAAAATCGCTTTGTTTTTTTGACGTTCTGTGATGCTTTTGTAAATAATGACATGATTTTATATCCACACATTTATTTCTATTAGTTTTACGATTCTCAAATATATATATAACACATACGGACTGACAAACCGACATATATGAGAAACAAGAGCTTAAGATTTCTACAAACTACAAAGCAGGTAAGCTTTTGTTATCAGTTTTTTTGACCTGCACAAGCTCAGCTGTGCTCTTCACAAATATGCGTCGTGACTACATATTTGTATGCTTCGGCAGGACTATCGTTGTGGGAAAAATGACATGTATTATTTTACATTATGAATATCTTAAGATGGTCAATCGATTACAGTTAGATTACAGCATTCCATTAATTGCATGCCAATTCTATGGAATAATTAATATCCATTACTCGAAATATAGCGGAATTGAACTTACGTATAAGTAAATTGTTAATAAATTGCAATCAGCATTCGAGTTTTGGAGCACTTGAGCAACCTCGTCATAACAGACTTGCAAAAATGTGATTAATATTCATCACTTGTTTGATAATCCACAAGGCCTACGTTCCTGGCGCCAAATAAAGTTTCTGTCAGAAAAAGGGGAAAACCGACCGAACGAAACAAACGTAAATAAGGTTTTCTAATCAATTGCCTTTTGTCTCATTCAAATCAAATCGGATATTCACATATAAGTTAATTTGACATTATTTAGGTTTTTTGTGACATTATATCAGTTTTTCTACAAAATGTCAGCTTAGAACTAGTTGTTGTTCACTTGCTGTGCACTCGTTCTGTAGCTGTACGGATTGCCTAAACGACATGACGCTTCAGCTATCAATGTTTGGCTCTGATGTAATGTAACAACTGCTCCAGAGATGGCATTATTGGAGCGCTGCTGTAATTTGTAAACTATAGCTGGAAGGAAACGGCGGTGCATGGGCGCATAGTGCGGATGTGTTGATAATAAATGGCATCTTGTCTCTAGTACACACACTTGAGATGTATGCAAAGCTAGAAATTAGTTGCGCACCCACTTCATCCTGGAAATTACATATGCAAATTTTCTGAATTTCAAAAACTGGAGATATGAGAAAAGAAAATCCCTGGTTGGTAAAGTACATTACATTTAACAGATGAGAAAATATGCTACAGAGAGGAATATTTATGATACGTGAGAAAGTTATTACATTTTACATTATTTCCAGCCATTTAAATTTTATAGAAATTTGTTTTGCGATGTCAAGTAGAAAATACAAATCAACTGCTAGATGTGAGGTACTGCGAACATGTTTTGTGTGTAATGCGTCATTTCTAATTTTTCTCTGAGGTGGCTTAATTACACACAACGCGGGCGCGGCGGTAATATTCCGTAATGCTTCTCTAAGTGACAACGTAAAAAACGTGGAAAATCGTAATCTACAACTTTAAACATAACCTCTCTTCAGGAAGGACAACCCAAATAACCTGTCTGGCGTCATGGGCGTCATATTCAGTAATAATTTTCTCGTATAGCAACGACGAATACACATAATTATCCTGATGCAATCTTGCTACTCAACCAATTTTCTTTCACACACACCAGAGATATACAGGGTTTGTCCGAAAAGTAATAGGACTCATTTTCTTCCGCCATGACTGCACTTCGGAGCGTGCAAGCACCGACAGGATTCGGTGGAGGGCGTTCCTAGCTAACGAATGAGCGGCTGGTCAGTTGTCTCCGAGCACTTGGAGAGTCAGGACAGGCATTTTCGCGCGACGTGTTTCTGTGAATGGTGCAAGCCGAAAATGCAGCGTTCGTTCTGTGTGAAACTCGGTAAATCTGCGACAGAGACGTTTGATATGATCAAGCAGGCTTACCCAGGCGTTGCTTTAGCAAAAAGTGGTGTGTTTCGGTGGCACCAGGCCTTTTTGGAGGGCCGGGAAGAAGTCGCTGATGAAGACCGTGTTGGAAGACCTTCAACTTCGACAAACACCGATAATGTGACTCGTGTGCGCAAAGTTTTGAACTCAGACCGTCGACTAAGTATTCGTTTAATTGCCAGATGTTAAATTTACCAAAATCTGTGGTTCACGACGTTGTGACACAGCATTTGAACATGCGCAAGGTGTGCGCGAAGATGATCACAAAAGTGCTGACTGACGACCAGAAATTGCGGCGAGTGGAAGTGTGCCAAGAAAATTTGAACATATGTGAAAGTGACCCCCAATTTTTGAATAACGTAATCACAGGTGACGAGTCGTGGATCTTTGAGTATGATCCCGAGACAAAAAGGCAATCTTCCGAGTGGCACACGACGGCGTCTCTTCGCCCAAACATTTGTTCTTCCTGGACAAACCGTCAACGCCAAGTTTTACGTGGAAGTGCTCAGGAGACTGAAACGAAGGGTCAGTCGGGTCCGACAAGACATCGCAGCCGACTGGAAGTTGCACCACGACAACGCCCCGGCTCACACCGCCTTTCTTGTGAACAGCTACCTGACCAAGGCCGGCATCCCAACGCTTCCGCAGCCGCCCTACAGCCCAGATGTGCCCCCCCGGACTTTTTTTTATTCCCTCGCCTGAAAAGGCAGATGAAAGTCAAGCATTTTGAGACGACAGAGGGGATCCAAGCAGCATGCACCGCGGCTCTCAAGGCTATTCCGGAGAATGCCTTCCGTGACGCCTTCAATGCTTGGAAATCGCGCTGGCAGCACTGCATCGACGCAGAAGGAGCCTATTTTAAAAGTTTTTAAAGAATTGTAACGATTGGCTCAATAATTTTTTTTAAATCGACCCAGTCCTATTACTTTCCGGACAACCCTGTACTTCTACAGACTATGTTGATATTCCGCAACCAACAAAGCCTGCCAGAAAACTGACTTGCATTATGGTCATTGAGCGTGTCGTTGAGTAATTTTTCCGTAGATGACGCTTTTGGTGACGCTCACAGAGCAAATAGCGAGCCGACGCGGAATAAACTATACTAAGTGACATATAAATCCGAACACCCAGTTTAAATGGTTTTATTTTAATAAAAGTTGGTGAATATATTTATCTTACTGTAAATAACAAGTGAAAAAATTTTCAGCTTTATCAGTTGGACATTCCGGTTTTTATACTGCTTTTTTTTAATTCACTAACGCTCTAAAAATGAATATTTCAGCCGCAGTAAAGAATCAACGTTTTCGGATTTTGGTTCTTGACATCCTTTACGATCGGGTACGATGCCTAGAGTACGGAGACCTGTACGATTTCGTCAACTTAGTGAGTTTGATAGGGGCCGTATAGTGGGACTTCGGGAAGCTGGACTTTCTTTTCGGGCAATTGCAGTTAGAGTGCAAAGAAGTGACGACACTGTGGTTAGGTGTTGTCAGGCATGGCTTCGAGAAGGCCGTACGCAAAGAGCAAGGGGCACTGGACGCCGCCGTAGAACAACAGACCGTGAAGATCGCCGCCTAAGATTATTGGCCTTAAGGGACGGTTTCTCCACTACCAGGTCCATTGCAAATGAATGGTTTGCAGAACACGGAAGACCTATTGGCATGCGAAGTGTTTACCGACGAATGAGAAGTTTTGGCTTGTTTTCATACCGGCCACACTGGGTCCTTCCTTTAACTCGAGAACACCGACGTAATGTGTAAGTGGTGCAGACAACGGTCACTCTGGGATCAGGAATGGAACAGTATTGTCTTTAGTGACGAGTCTCGATTTTGTTTAGGCATGCACGATGGTCGTGCCAGGGTTAGAAGGCGACGTGGTAAAAGGAGGAATCCACAGTTTTTTGTTGAAAGACATGTTCATCACACTGTTGGAGTTATGGTTTGGGGTGCTATAGCTTATGGTTCCAGGTCACCTTTAATCTTCATCAGAGGTAACATGAACGCGCAGCGTTATATCCACGAAGTTCTAGAACCCCATCTTTTACCCTATCTTGACACCCTGACAGATCCAACTTTCCAACAAGATAATGCCCGACCACATGTTGCAAGAGTCACAATAGACTTCTTTCAACATAATGTCATATTGTTACCATGGCCACCAAGATCTCCCGACTTATCCGAAATTGAGCACGTGTGGGATATGATGGGTGGGAGATTGCTCAATTTGCAACGTCCTCCTCAGACTCTAGAAGCACTTCGAAAGGAGTTGGTGGTTGCCTGGAATGAGATACCACAGGAGGACATTGACCACCTGATCAGAAGCATGCCTAGGCGCGTTGGAGAATGCGTAGCACATCAGGGTGCTCCCACACATTATTAAAGGTCAAAGGGCTTTAAAGCAGTGCAATCATTTTGAAATTTTTATCATTTACTTATTATGCTTCATTAAGTACTTATACAAAATTTTATTAAAATAAAACCATTTAAACTGAGTGTTCGGATTTATATGTCACTTAGTATATTTGCAATCTAGGAACTATATAGCAACTTGACATTTTGTCGGTTTTTTTGACATTATATCGGTGTTTTACGTAATAACTCTCTTGCTCCAAGATTGTCTTTGCTCTACATTACAAAGTTTTCGTTGTGGCAAATCGAATTCTTAGTTTCCCAGATGAAAATGGATAATATTAGAGTTTTGATTTTTTCGAACTTATTATCATGTCGATAATAAAAAGGTTACCAACACCAAAAGCACAGCTTCCAAAACTTCATCAACTATTATGCTTACCCTCAAATTTAACACACTCCTATCAACAGTACCGGTATATGCAAACTGTAGACATTGTTGCATTGCTCCAGGAGTGACCAATTTGCTTAATGTTACTACGGTTTGCCCTTCTGGTTGTACGATTCTGAAAATAAACGATATTTTAAAAATGATATATAAAGATGAAAAGTAAGATCCAGATATTCCCACTTCTGGTAACTCAAGTATAACAAATTTCGATGTTTCATCGTAGTTACTAAGATCAGGTGGACACATCAATGATAGGCTGACTGAAATTTTGCAGCGCCCTGGATAGTGCTTATTTATATTTTAAGAGCAATCTACTCCTCCCTCCTCTCCCGCCCGAAGGCCTGGTGTGGCACTGCGTGGTTTAGGCCGCTGCGCATTCCCTGAGTGTGTGCTGCCGAACGAGCTAACCCCCCCTCCCCAATTTTGCCCCTTTTTCCCGAAATTTGACTCGATCGCGCACGCGTCGCGGAAGCACGTGGTGGACGTTTCTTCCAACTGTATGGACGGCGTCTTTCTTGGGGGTCCTGCGCTGGGGGCTTTGACCTAAGCCCCGCATTAAGGTTGGTGAGCCTTCGCTCTTTCCTCGTCGACTGGAGTCAGTCAGTCAATCGTCAGTCAGTCATTTGCTGTTTGTCGTTCGTCTCCTGAGGTTAGCCTCGAGTCCGTGCTTGACTCTGGCCACCTCAATCGACAGGCTTCTTTTTATCCACCCGTTGTACACGGGCTGTTCTTTCCCCCCTTGGGTGTAAAACTATTGTCGGTCTTCTCCCCTTTTCTTTAGCCTCATCAGCTGCTAGGGCCAATTTTCTTCTTGTTGCAGCTGGTTTTTCGGTCTTTTATGACGCCTTATTGTTCTTGGGTCGTAATCCAAGGCGTCTTTAATCAGCACATTTCGATGTCTTTCGTTCTTTTCAAGGAACTTTCGGGCCCTCTCTCTCATCTGGATTACGACCGGTACCTGTCGTAGTTCGTCTATATGACGTGCTATATGCACTCTGTTAGGTACATACCACGGTGCGTCCACCATCTCACGGAGTGCTATGTTTTGTTGAGCTTGGAGCCTCTTCTTCATCGTTTTGGAAACGTAGCCCCAAGCTACTGCTGCGTAAGTCATGATTTGGAGCAGCACCATCTGAATCATGATGGTATTATTCTTTAAGGACACTTTACTTCTTCTGCCTGGTAAAGGTCTTAGTCTGGAGCGTGCCATTCTGCACCTGGCCCTCGACATGGTTCTTCCAAGTGAGTTTTTGGTCCATCTTGACTCCAAGGTATGTGCTGGAGTCCTTCCATTCGACCTCAACTTCTTCGTCTCTTCTCCAGCCTCTCCCTATTCTGGTGGTCGTCATCTATATTTTGGTTTGAGGTAATCTTCGATTTCTTCGGAACAGTACCGCTTCGGTCTTCTCAGGGTTGAGACGGATCTTCCACTTGATGCACCATTCCTCTAGGTTGGTAGTCGCTCGTTGCAGATATTCCGTAACCATGCGGGGTCTCGTACTTTCTGCCACATATGCTGTATCGTCCGCATACACATACAGTTGCGTTTGTGGAGTCTTCGGGATGTCTGAACTGTAGATTGCATACAGCAGGGGTGATAGAACCGCTCCCTGCGGTACTCCTGCCTCCACAGTCCTCGTCGTCGAAGTTACTTTACCAATCCTAATTCGGAATTTACGGTGCTTCAAATAGGACTTCACCAGTTGGATCATCCCCGTTAAGTATCCGAAGTCTACCATCTCGTCGATCAGTCTGTCATGCCAAACAGTGTCGAACGCCTTAGCGGCATCCATGAACACAGCTCCCACGGCCCGCCGAGTCTGGAACGATTTCGTTGCCAACTCGACCAGCCTTAGGACCTGGTGCTCTGCTGAATGTTCGCTTAGGAATCCGAACTGTTCGTCTGGAACTACTCGGAGTTCTTCAGTTTCGTTCCTCAGTCTTCGTTCGATTATCATTTCCGTAATCTTGCTCAGTGCCGTCAACAGGATTATGGGTCTGTAGTTTTGGGGGAACCTTGGGTCTTTTCCAGGTTTTGGTATGTTGATCACTTCGGCTACTTTCCAGTGTTTTGGAAAGTATCGGTGTCTCAATATGGCGTTGACAATGTTGGTAATTGCCATTATCGTTTTTCTCGGGAGTCTCTTCAAGACACTATTCCCAATTTCGTCTACACCCGGAGCTTTCTTCACCGATGGTTTCCCTTACCTCGCCTGGAGAGGTCATGTCTTCAATGGCTCTTCCTCCTCTTACAGCTCTCCTCGATCTTCTCATCACCTCGTCGATGAAGTCTTCGTCTTCATCGGGGTGAGTATTGAGAGTACACTGTCTCTGAAGGTTGTCAGCAAAAGCTTCTGCCTTCTCTTCGGTTGTGTACACCATCCCCTGTTCGCTGTGTATTGGAGGGATGGGCTGTCTTCTGTTTCTGAGGATTTTAGCCAAGTTCCACAATCCTGGATCAGCTGGAGATAGTTCTTCGAGTTTCTTATCCCAGGTGCTCTGATGATGCTGCTTCAAGGTGTCTCTTGCCTGTCTTGTCAGTCTGTTTGCCACCATGATGTCTGTGGGGCTTCTGGTCTCCTGGGCTACTCTTCGGGCTCTATTTCTTTCGGTGATCTTGCGATTTACCTCGTCAGGTAGGTCCCTGAACCTGTTTGGTTGCGTTATGTCTTCTACGGTGGTTGCGGCTTCTAACGCAGCCTTAATCTTCCTTTCTAGGTCCGTGACCGCTTCCTCTATGCCTTCAGTGCTTTCAATCTGAAGTAGTGGTCCTAGTGAATAGTGCAGTCTGATTCTAAATCGCTGCCAATCCACTCTCTTCACTGTTCTTTGCTCCACAATTGAAATCAAAATTCGGTGAACGTGTTATATCAAGAAACGATCCTGTCGAATGGCCGCCTAGATCGTGTGACTTAACACCTCTAGACTTTTTTGTTTGTGAGGCGAGGCTACATTAAATCATTGGTCTATAACAACAAGCCGGCGTCGTTAGAGGAGCTCGGAGCCAATATTGAACGAGAGATTGCGGCCGTTTCTGTCGAAATGTGTGGCCGAGTCATTGAAAATTGGGTTCAACGAATCGATCGCTGCGAAGGTGCCCGTAGTGGACATATGAACAAGGCGACTTCCATACATTAATGTTTTGAGTATAATAAAATTGTAAAATTTTCGAGATATCTTAAATGTCTGCTATTTTTATGTTGAAATCGACGTCAAACACCTATGATGCTAATTTGATAAATACAGGGTGGCCCATAAGTCCTTTGAGCTGGAAAAAAAGGAATAAAACCAAACTAGTTACATTATGAAGAATTATTATATTTTGTTATCATCTTTATTGAATGGGAATTATGTTTTAAAAATCACATCGTCTAAATGCAATCCATTACGATCACGGCACTCATATAAACGACGTCTAAAATTGTCGATGACTGCGCGGCAAGTCAACACTGTAATGCTTGCCACTTCTCTTCGGATATTTTCTTTCAGGACATCAACTGATCGCGGAGTGGTGTCGTAAACTTTACTCTTGAGCTAGCCCCATAAAAAGCAGTCCATTGGGGTCAAATCTGGACTACGTGGTGGCCAGGAAATGTCTCCTCTTCGAGAAATTACTTTGCTGGGAAAAAGTTGACAGACGACGGGCATAGAAGTGTTGGAGGTGTGGGCAGTTGCTCCGTCCTGTTGAAACCAGGTCTGCGTATTATAGCCTGGAAAATTCTGCAACGCTGGTGTCAAAAACTCTTCTATCATTGCTACATACCGCTCCGAAGTAACAGTTAATGCGCGACCTCTGTCGTCCTCAAAAAAATAAGGGCCTTCGATGCCATGCGCTGACATAGCAGCCCAAACTGTAACTTTAGGGCTGTGTAAGGGCTTCTGATGCTTACGCCTTGGATTTTCGGGGCTCCAATAACGGCAATTTTGTTTATTTACATGCCCGTTTAAATGGAAGTGAGCCTCGTCCGAGAACAACACATTATTGAGCGAAGAAAATCGATTCAACATTTCATTCGCAAAGTTTAGTCTCTGAATAGCGTCATTATCTTTTAATTCCTGCACTAACTGAATTTTGTAAGCGTGCAGACGTAAATCTTTCCTTAAAATCCGCTGTAAAGATGTTCTGGGTACGTTTAGTGCACTGGAACGCTTACGAGTAGACTGGGTAGGATTTTGACGAACAGACTGTGCCACAATGTTGATGTTTTCTTCAATACGAGTTGTCCTTGGTCGACCCCACCGCTGTTTATCTAACGCCGAACTAGTCACTTCGAACTTAGCAACGCAGTTCTTAATCGTTTGAGCTGTTGGACACTTTGTAAAATTGTGTAAATTGTTGTATTCTCGATATTTACGCCGCGCAATGGTTGCCGAATCATTATTTTGATAAAACGCGCGCACACAAAAAGCACGACCCGCTCCAGTGAAACACTCCATGGCGACTGAATTCCCAGACACTGAAGATACTGCCCCCACCTCGCCCGCGCCACTCACGCTCACCCGTTAAATTTTATTCAAATTTGAAATTTCAAAGGACTTACCTGTATTTCATGAAAAGTTATATTTTCTTATTTCCTTTTTTATTACCTTATGCATTGAAATGCGGGGTGATCCAACTCCCTGGCAGTCGGTAGTGCTTGGCAGCTGGCTCTCCTCTTGCAGGTCTTCTGTTCAGCCTTCACCAGGCACTCCGTCTCATCAGCGAAGTCTCCTAGTGAACTCACCATGCTCGAATCGCTTGTGCTACGAGCCATCAAGTCGGCCGTCAGAAGCCTGGAAAATATCATTATGAAAGAATAAATAAAATTTATATTGAGTTTATTAATATTTAAAAATGGCGTCAAGTAGATTGACTCTATACTTCCTACGCCCTTGTTGGAGGTTACGAAAAGGAGGAGCCAAATCGGTTCAAAAGGCAAAATTGATGCGTGATTAGATAGGTTCACTTAGTTACCGTCAATCTTCGACTTCTGAATATCGAACTTTATAAAACAAATCTATAATATTTCTGTTTCTATGGCAGATTTGGGGAAAATATGTGCGACTTATTATGCCAGCAGGTGCTTAGTGTCACGGAGATCAAAAGTTTCTCAATAGTTGAAGCGTTGTGTCAGTGATGACACCACCGAGTACCAGTTGGAATTTGCGTTTGCAAAGTTATTTTGAATTATATTATACATCGGATTTTTCTCATTTAATTTTCTTGTTGTTACCGGGATCAGAAGCTTCTTAATGATTCGTCTTGAACTTATACTAAAGACGTTACATTTACAACCCCTACCCTCTACAAACCCCACAGAACATTTTTCGAAAATCATTAGGAGCCTCTGAAATATCAACGAAATTTAAGCGATTTTTATTTTTTTTGCGTTTTTGCCACTAGACCTGTCAACACTCGACCGATTTTCAAAAAATACAAAGCTTTTTCATCCTTGGCATAGTAGTAACCTTTTGTAAAAATTTCATCAAAATTCACACGGTTATTATGTGAAAAAAAAAAACAAACGACGTAATGTCATCTTGCAGACTGGGTAGTTTTTAGTGTGCAAATAGTTCATTACATGTTAGCTTGCTATAATCAAATCCAAGCGAATAGCCAAAATTTCTGTGTTATGTTCCGCGGTTATAATATAGTTTGTGAGATGATACACGAGTTGATGACGTCAGTTACTCGAATCGCTTGAAGGCGTTGGTTTTAACCGCGGTTTTGTTGCAATTTATTTTAGAAACGCGATTATATAATTTCTGACTATTTTTATTATCACTTAATAATCGGTGCTAATTCGTCTACATCGGTGGTATGGAAATTTTAGAAAAGAAACCTTTCATAATATTAAGGGAGAAATGTTTTTTCCAGAAGGTATCGTTCAGGTGTTAAATCACTTGAGAAAATCTCTCATTTTTAAATAAGTTTGTCGTGAAAATAAAAGATATCACGGCCAAAATTTTAATGGTGGAACGATGGCTTTGTTGCTATGATAACTTTCAATTCTCTAAACTTTTCCGCAAGTTAAATAAAACATTTATTGATATAGCAGAAATGATAGGGAAAAGCGATGAAGAAAGATATTAGCGAAACCATATGTAGGTGGACATTATCCAGTGAGTTTATATGGCCATATTTTAATATTCTTTTGGTATATATCTATTATCTACGCAGGATACTCTGTTAAGCATAGGAACTAGATCTAAAATGTCCCCAACAACAGTCATTATATATATATATATACGTATACATATACAGGGTGACTTTGAAGTTGAGTCATTAATTTTCAGATAATGATTGTAGAAGGAAGATAAACCAAAATATGTGTGTAAAAATTAAAAAAAATGTTACCTTGTTTTATAAAGTATCCTCCCGACAAGTATTTCAGTGCGGAACTGTATTTGATCGTGCGGTCTTGGAGCACCGGCATGCCCTCCCCTGTGTGAGTCACCTGATTCACGAGCCCTTTGTACTACATTAACAAAGGCACGAGGGGTTGGTTGCACTCGATTGGGAAACCGATCCGCATACATCCGTGATGCCGCGTAAATAAGAATCATGTCCACAAGTTCAGCATTTTCGTAAACATGTGCCATTTTTGATTTCGTTTGAGCCACGCAACAGACACCACTATTCACTCACGCGTTACCGACTGACACATTGACTGAATACAACTGAATAAGCGTTTCAAATTCTTTCGCTTTTTTATTTCCGATGCGATGAACCGATAAGGCGGATTATATCCGTTGTTGCCAAACACGAGCACATAATATTATTATTGAGACAGGGCGGTACTCAAACTTCCAAAGGGCTATAACTTTGTTACTTTAATTTTACCAGAAAAATGGTAAAGAAAAAACATTTCTTTTGATCAGATCTACTCACTGTTAAAATAAATGACTCAACTTCGAAGTCACCCTGTATATATATAGGTGAAAAATTAAATCTTACGCCTTTTGTTCGGTACTTCGACAAAAATTTTCAGCAAAGAGGACTCTTTATACTTTTTTTATTCTCTCTAGCTTTCAATGGACTTTGCCATCATCATCAGGAGCTGCAATTACATTGATAACAGTAGCAACAATAGTGTAAAATGAATTTAAATTAACTTAACTTACAGTAGTATGTGAGGATGTTGCTAATTGTTGTTTACGTTCAGGATGAGTAACATGGTGAAAGCTGGATAAATGGTACAATGGTCAAAATTATATAAAATGGCAAAGTCCATTGAAAGCTAGAGAGAATAAAAAAAGTATAAAGAGTCCTCTTTGCTGAAAATTTTTGTCGAAGTACCCAACAAAAGGCGGAAGCTTTAATTTTTCACCTAACTGGTCTAGACGACAATGTCCACGTCTCAAGTTATATATATATATATATATATATATATATATACATAATAACTAATAAGGTACTCGACTTTATGCTACAACTGAAGTCAGCCTGTATCAAGTTTCCCAAAAATGAAGCTCAAGTACAACAAAAATATCCAATACCCGCCAAAATTCTAACTTGTCACATTTCAAATAATAACCAGTAATATAAAACTACTCACACACAATTTTACGGTGATACTATAACATATAGCAGCTGATTGATATATATATATATATATATATATATATATATATATATATAAAGACAATAATGCTTACCGAAATTGATTTTTACGGTGCAGGCTTAAGGTTGCATAATACTGCGTGAACAGAATCCAACAAATTTCAACTTTAACGAACGGTAGTCGACTATAAGTGTTGGTCAGATATGTTTTTACACCAAAAAGAATCAAGCAGGCTAACTCAGGGGCGGATATAGAAAATATTTTCAGAAGGGTCCATATGAAAAAAGTGCTGCGGGGAGAAGCTCAGGATTCATTTTCAGGAGGATGTCCGTATCGAAAATTGAAAAATATGCAATTTTTTAAAGTCTGATACGGACACCCCCCTGGATCCGCCTCAGAGCTAACTAGATGCCGTTAGAAGTCTACCGTTCAGTAAATGTTGGGGTGGAACAATTTAAAAACCGGAACAACCGACATCACACAGCTCAAGATGCGCCTACAAGAATTAACAGATACAACTTAAAGTGAAGTGGAAAACAAGCGCTCAAGTACGGAAACATTGGTCCCCGTCTGTGCCCGATACCAACTCGCTCCAAACCTGCCTCGGTCGATGTTTGGTTGTCAGACAATTTTCGCAGTATTCGCAGGAAATTTACACTTTATTAGTTTTACTTCCCACGCCTGCTGATGGAGACGTATTGTAATCGTGAGAATTTGCGAAAACGAGACATTACGCCATGTACATCACGAAAAATCATGCCATTCATTTTCGTCAGCCTGACTATCTGTCGATCGCTCCGTTTGTCTTATAATCGCCTATAACTTGGGAAGTAAGCTCGAATTTCGATGAGATTTTTACAGAATGTTACTGCTATGCCAAAGATGCAAAAGCTTTGAAGTTTTAGAAAGTTGGTCCACTTCGTTTTTTGACATTTAAGACGATCCTGATCCTTTTCGGGGTTAAAAATTAGGGGTTAGGGGTTGCAGGTAATTCTACGCACATATGAGGCATATTTCAATCATCATAGATGTCCCCGTACATTTACACTTAAAACCTACAAAGTATCTCATATAGTCGGGTGTCAATACGTGCGACGTCGTCCCCGATGGACAAGGTAAGCGGTGGTCGTATCTCACAGTCGGCAATCGCTTACACTCTACCGTGGACTGGGTGTATTGTGAAGGCCAATATCGTCATTCACGCTTGGTTGGTATTCGTGTGCACCAGCAGCAATTCCTCTCAGGGGGAGAAGGAAGGCCATTTAACTTTTCGTTATACACGTTCATGGCTAACCTTTTATTTCTCAGATAGGCTATCTTGTGCCTTTAAGCACTGATGACAGCGTAGCGTGCGAAGTACTGAGTCAAATTACCTGACGCTATTTTTTCAAGATATAATCATAATTAACGTTATCAAGCCTCGAAAACAGATAGATAATCAGTGATAAAATGCAATACACACCTGTAGAAGGCTCTACTGCTGGCAGCTAGAATGAATCGATGAGCGGGGAATCCCATGGATCCGACGACGAGTACGATGTCGGTGTGCGCTCTACTGAGCCACAGATGGCGCAGGTGTTCCGTGTACGAGCTTGGAGATATGTGGACTTCCGGTTTTGGAGGGGGCGGAGGCTTGAACGGTGCCTAAAAGACACAAATATATCAGGACATTAATTTGATAGCATTGGAAAAATCATGCACAGAAACGGTTTCCCGCAAAATTTGCGTTCAGGATATTTCTACAATTTATGTATTTAGCAGGTTTTTCTAGATTAATCGTTTTGGTATACGGGCCCGGAATATTTAACCTTAACGCGAATCTAACAAACTAAACTGTGAAAATGTCGTACAATAAACTTTACTGCAAGATAGATAAATACCTATGCTTTATTGTCTAATCTTAATGACAAAGCTAACTTAAATCTAAACTATAACATATCTACAATATGTGGATCTTGAGATGGTGAATTGTAGAGCTCACACATGATATAATATAGTTTATGTATTAAAAATTTCAGGGCGGAATATCTTTAAATTGTTAGATCTTTTGATAGCTTCAGGGAGACACATGTAAATTTTCAGACCTTTACAAATTATTGAGTCGTTTACAAATGTTGATTTAAGTACTACTAATTTAAGATCTTGTTTACGTCTAATATTGTAACTTACATTCAATATTTAAAATTGAGATTTATTTTTAAAAGTAAGAGTAGCTGTTTCTAAAATGAACAATGATACGACAAATATTATTTTAAGATTTACAAATAAAGGCCTGTTTTAGGATTGCTTTTAGTTATACAGGGTGTTTCAGTTTATTGTTGCATAACTTTAACATTCGATAGAACTTTTAAAATTAATGCATAAAGTCTATATAAACATGGGTCGAGAAATGTGTGGCTTCCGAAATACAGGGTGTTTAAATTTACTTTATAAAATAGTTTTTTTAAAAGATTTCGAACAATATTTGATATATAACAGTGAAAATTGGTATACAAATTTTTTTTGTACGATAAAACGAACCATGGGCATAGTTTTACTGTAGCCGCTAGAGGGCGCTCTCTACTGTACCTGTAGTGTATTAAAATGACCGAAATTTTTTTCTTAGTGTAATTTTTTGCTTTATGAATAAAAAAACTGATTCTTCGCACTTTTCAACATAAAAAGGCTCTCTTGTGAATTTTCGTTATAGTTAGCCGTTTTTGAGATATTTCGATTTTTAAGGCTCGATGCATTTTTAATTATTTATGATAAAATAACGTTAAAAAGTCAGTATCTCGATAATTTTTAGAAGTAGGCTGTGCCTGGAAATATTTTTGAAATTGAAAGCAGAATAAGGTTAAACGTCAATTAGTTGACAGTTAGTTTTGTTGTCTGTTGAAACCTGAAACGTTTTTTTGCAATTGTGAATGCACGAAATTTAGTTTCTTCTACCTGTTTTTTTTTGTAAGTTTTATAAAAATGCCATTTTTATTCTCCAATCAAGAGTTAGCGGATATTCATTTTGTGTATGGCTTTGTAAATGGAAACGCAGCAGAAGCAGCCAGAGAATACGCACGAAGATTTCCAAACAGACGACATCCAACTCGCTCAGTATTTGTATGAGTGCATCGCCAAATAATTGAAAATGGTTTTGGACATCTCCAAAGGGATCAAAACATGAATGTTCGTCAGCTCAGATTTACCAGTATGATTCTGCGTGAGTTTGATAGAGATCCGACCACAAGTGTTTCTGGTGCCTTGGGAATTTCAGCAAGCCATGTTCACCGTGTTCTTAGAAATGACCATAGACGTCCTTACCATTTGCAACCTGTGCAAGGACTAAAGCCAGGGGACGGAGAACGAAGAATCACATTTTGTCAGTGGATTCTTGATAGAACTGATAATAATAGGGAGTTTTTAAGTAACGTTTTATGGACCGATGAGTAATGCTTCACTAGACGCGGAGAGGTAAATTTTCATAATCAACATATTTGGTCGCATGAAAATCCGCATGCAGTTCGGGACAGAAATTTTCAGCATGAATTTAGTGTGAACGTGTGGATTGGTATCTACCGTAATCGACTATTTGGACGCTGAACATGCAAATATGTGTGATGATGTTATGTTAGATTTAAGAAGATTGTCCTGGTTCCAGCTTGATGGTTGTCCAGCTCATTATTCGAGAATAGTTAGAAACTGGCTGGACGAAAATTATCCAGAGAGATGGATCGGCCGTGGAGGACCAGTCGCCTGGCCTCCACAATCCCCTGACCTAAATCCATTAGATTTCTTTGTGTGGGGATTTCTAAAAGCAAAAGTGTACCAGACTCCCGTAACCACAAGAGTTATGCTAATAGACAGATTCACGAATGCATGTGATGAAATAAGGCCTTATTTGAATAATGCTATACCACGTTCGATCATTCGTAGATGTGAATTGTGTATTGAACAATTGGATTTACATTTCGAGCAACTACTTTAGATTTTGTATGTTTGTCCTAACTATCCAATAGCATTTTAGTTGTAAATAATTAATTTAATTTGTTAAAAATAATATTGGAAAATTAAACAAATTAGTATTCTGTTTTTTGTGTTTATTTGGAGTTAGGAATTATTGCTGTGTTTAAAAACACAATCTAAACGATCATCTTAATTACTTATAATGCCCAAATCGAAAATGTAAAAAAAAATATTATTTTCCCATAAATAATTAAAAATACATCGAACCTTAAAAATCGAAATATCGCAAAAACGGCTGACTATAACGGAAACTCACAGGAGAGATTTTTTATGTTGATAAGTGCGAAGAATCAGTTTTTTCATTCAAAAAGCAAAAAATTGCACTAAGAAAAAATTTTCGGTCATTTTAATACACTAGAGGTACAGTAGAGAGCGCCCTCTAGCGGCTACAGTAAAACTATGCCCATGGTTCGTTTTGTAGTACCAAAAAACTCTTGCATACCAATTTTCACTATTATACATCAAATATTGTTCGAAATATTTAAAAAAAACTATTTTAGAAAGTAAATTTACACACCCTGTATTTCGGAAGCCACGCATTTTTCGACCCATGTTTATATAGACTTTATGCATTAATTTTAAAAGTTCTATCGAATCTTAAAGTTATGCAACAATAAACTGAAACACCCTGTATATCTAATAGTTTGTTTTTGCAGAATAAGCATTTTTAAAATTTTAATTTTTTGATATTCCCAAAAGGGAATGCTATATCTCAATCTATTTTCAAATAAGGCAGGGTAATTGATTAAGGCTGTACGTTTCCCTAGGTTGTAACTAATTATACTTCGGCGTCCAGTCCAAAGATGTTTATTATTTCACCACGTAGTCCGCCCTGTCGTGCTACCAGCCACAAGGTTTTTAAAGCAAAATCCCCCTCTGCTACGCCCGTGTTCCTGTATATGCCGCAGCTTTCCCCTTCTACAGTCATTCGCCTTGTGCTCGACCAGCTCGCATCAACACCGACAGCCAACCGTACCTTCAGGACGTAAGTAGCGTAAGTAAAATAATCATTTACTGGTTTACTTCTATCCCTCGTTTATATAACTAGATATGGGGAAGCAGAAACGACAGAAGCGCAGCAGAGAATCGTCTAGCAGCAGTTCAGACTCGGATATGGAGAGCCGAAAGCGACTTAAGAAATTAGAACGGTTTTATAAGAAATATAAAAAGGATCGCCATGGCCGGCGATCGCGATCACCGCGCCGGCGTGGCAGTCGATTGCGTCACCGCTCAGCCGGTAACCGCTCGCATTCATCTCTCTCTCCATCTCCAGCGCGCTCGGCGTTGCCATCTTCCCGCCGACGGTCAGACGACTCGCCTCGGCGGGGTTGCCGTTCACTCTCGAATTTCCCTGATTTAGGGAATGGTATAGCGCGAGACCGGAGCGTCTCGCCAATTACCGCCGATGGTCCAAGCACCTCTCCTTCGGCTCTCTCCCGCTCAAAAAACGGTGAAGCGCGAGCTCCTAGCGACTCGCCAACCACCGCCAATGGTCTAAGCACCATATTAACATCGCACGAACAGGACGTGCTGATCGTAGACAACGATGTGGAGCTACCGGACGATATATTGGTCATTTTAGGAGTAGAATCAAACGAAAATAAGACTGATAATCTCAAAATTCATTCAGCTTTAGCCGCTCGATGGTCTAAGATCATCTCGCAGGGATTGTCAGAGGTAGAATATAACTCCATGGCCCAGAATTACAAGCCACCGTCCAATTTACCGTTGCTTGCTCCTCCGATAATGAATCCGGAAACACAAAATATTCTTCCGGCCAACATGCAAAAGAAAGACAGTGCTTACGTAATGTTCCAATCAAAGCTCGGAGCGGGCATTTTGGCACTGGGAAAAGGAATTGATAGCATTCTGTCGTGCGCAGAATCCATGCCCAGTGTTTATAAAGATACACTTTTACCTAGCCTATCGGACTCAGGGCGCATCCTGGCTAGTTTATTCCACGATTTAACAATGGCACGACGCATGTTCGCCTATCCTTATATGAACAAAAATACTAAAGAATTGTTACAAAACCGTCCCCCTACGGACCTGCTATTCGGATCTGATCTTAGCGATGTTATTAAGGCAGCAAAGTCAATACAGTCGACAAGCAAAGATATTAAATCAGCTCAGCCTTCATCGACATATAGGGTATCTACAACACCTAAGCAGTATTATAGGCCAGGAAAAAAGGGGGGAGGGCAAGCAAGGAATAGCTCCCACTACGTGTCTTTAAACAAGAATCGCCCAGCCCGTCGATCGAGGGAGACAGGGCACCAGAGGGGCACCACCTCGTACGAACTGAATCCGAAAGACAGATACAAGAGGAGAAAATAAATAAGGTAAGTTATAATAATAATCCTTTCTCAGGTAGACTCGCAAAGTTTTATGAAAAGTGGACAACCATCACCCAAAATAAAACAATCCTGCAATGGATTATGGGTTACAGAATACCACTCAATAGTGTTCCCATACAAAGAAACGTACCCAGACATTCTTTTTCTCTTGCCGAAAAACATCTCCTAAACGCCGAAATAGCGAGCCTACGGCTAAAAGGAGCAATTGTGACATGCTCTCCACAGAGTGATCAATTTATATCCAGGATTTTTCTAACTGATAAGTCCAATGGTAAGAAGCGCTTCATTCTGAATCTAAAAAATCTCAACACCTTTGTGGATGCTCCCCATTTCAAGATGGAGGACACACGTACTGTGTTGAGACTAATTCAAAGAAATTGTTACCTTACGTCAATTGACTTGAAAGACGCATACTTTCTGATTTCCGTAGCACCGGAGTTTCGCAAATATTTGCGCTTCACATTTGAGGGAAATCTATTTGAGTTTGCATGCATTCCCTTCGGTCTAAGCTCTGCACCACATGCATTTACCAAAATTCTCAAACCTGTAGTAAAGAACCTTCGGTTGAAGGGCATTTTATGTGTCAATTATTTGGATGACTTCCTAATCCTTGGCGAAAAAGCAGACATCTGTAAGCGGAACACCGAAACCGCAGTGCAGTTATTGGAATCACTCGGGTTTGTAATTAATCTTGATAAAAGTTCCCTGGCCCCCTCACAAACGTGCAGATTCTTAGGATTCATGTTCAATTCTTTGACAATGAAGATCGAGGTAACACGAGAAAAGAGACAGAGGATCCTGAAGTGGATCAACATTTTTCAAAGGAAAAAGATATTCAGAATCCGACAGTTCGCCCAATTCTTGGGTCTCTTAGTCTCTGCATGTCCAGCCATTAAATACGGATGGCTATACACGAAGTCTTTCGAAAGAGATAAACTAATCGCTCTGAGGAAACATCGCATGGATTACAACGCAAATATGTCTCTTTCATTACAATCACGCGTCGATCTGTCATGGTGGCTGAATAATATAAGTTCAGCAAATAACGACATCAAGCACGACTCATTCCAACTAGAAATCTTCACAGACTCATCCCTTTCCGGTTGGGGCGCTTGTTGTAACGGGGAGACTACGCACGGCTGGTGGACAGAATCCGAGAAAGATAATCATATTAACTTTCTGGAGTTGCTTGCAATATTCTTAGGTTTGAAATGTTTCGCCAAGGGTTTAGAAAACTGCAATATCCTAATAAGGGGCGATAACACGACTGCTGTTGCCTATGTCAACCGCATGGGAAGTGTACAGCACGCAAAACTCAACAAACTAACTAAGCAACTATGGCAGTGGTGCGAGATTCGAGGCATATGGATACAGGCCGCCTATATAAATACAAAAGATAATTGGGTGGCGGACACAGAATCCAGAAGATTACAGCCAGAGACAGAATGGTCTCTAGCGGATTGGGCATATGCCAAAATCACCCGAAGGTTGGGTGCGCCTAACGTAGATTTATTCGCATCTCGAAACAACTATAAATGTAAAAGGTATGTTTCGTGGCTGAAAGACCCTGGATCATTTGCATGCGATGCCTTCACTATTCCGTGGACGGGCATCAACTTCTATGCATTTCCACCATTTTCCGTAGTTTTGAGAGTTATACAAAAAAATAATAAATGACAAAGCAAATGGGATACTAGTGGTACCGTTTTGGCCTTCCCAAGCGTGGTATCCACTTTTCATTAGGCTTTGTAGAGGAGAACCCATTTTCTTTGAGCCACAACCGGATCTATTGATTTCACCTTTCAGCAGCGCAGAACATCCTTTAGCGGGGAACCTTACCCTGGTAGCGGCGAGACTATCCGGCGAGCCCTAAGGATGCAAGGTGTTCCCGAGTGTGCAGTCGAAACGACATTGCAATCATTGTCTGAAGCTACAATAAAACAATACGGAGTCACATATAAACTCTGGTGGGAGTTTTGTAAGGCTCATAATACTTCGCCATTTAATGGCCAGGTTAGTGAAGTTATCACCTTTCTGCAAAGCATTCTTGATAAGAATGATTGTCTATTTGGATCCTTCAACTCTCACAGGTCAGCGCTTTCATTGATTTTGCCATATAAATCAGGGGATAATCCCATCTTAAAACGGTTTATGAAGGGCATATCTCGAATAAGACCACAGCAGCCAAGATATAGTCTCATTTGGGACCCTAAACAAGTCCTAGATTTTCTGGAAGCGCATCAGACAACTTCCCTGAAACAACGTTCAATGAAACTGGTGACCCTATTGCTGTTGGCAACAGGACAAAGGTTGCAGACTATATCGAAAATAAAAATTAGCAATATACATTGCGACTGTGTCCAAATTTTGATAGACGAGACGATCAAAACATCGGGACCGAGATCAAAGCAGCCTTGTCTGATAATCCCAAGGTTCAATGACAGACCTCAATTATGCGTAGCAAATTGTCTGACATCCTACGTCACAGAAACTGCGACATTAAGGAATCAAAATGACGAGTATTTGTTCCTAACAACCCAAAAACCATACCGAACCGCTTCCAAACAAACTCTCAGTCGGTGGGTAAGAGACACCCTCAAAATGGCAGGGATTGATACTAACATATTCAAGCCGCATTCTAGCCGGCATGCGTCAACTTCTGCCGCTAGCAGAGCCGGAGTTTCTTTGGACATTATAAGGGATTCAGCAGGATGGAGTAGGAATTCTGAAACCTTCGCGAAATTTTATAATCGACCTCTAATATTTAGAGAACAGTTTGCATTAAACGTTTTGGACGTACAGGAATAAGCATTTACTTATGTTTATGATATACCGCACGGGTTTTTGTTTGAATTTTGCCGGTGGCAAAACTTTAGAATTTATTTCAAATGACATTTTTCTTTTATGCTCCCTTCATACGTTGTATCGCATGAAGTTGCATTAAACGTTGCGTTTAGGAGCAACCGTTCATTTTGAGTTATGTTACACACTGTATCACATAGAGTTTTGTTTGAGTTTTGCAATATATCATCGTTCTCCCAATAAATGCTTGATCACCAAAGCCTTATACTTTTTATTTCCGTTCGTGTCATAACCCATACATCTTTAAACATCTACGTGGTGAAATAATAAACATCTTTGGACTGGACGCCGAAGTATAATTTAACGATCAAATGAACTTACCTTAAGGAAGTTCGATCGAAATTATATGAGGCGTCCAGTCCAAAGATGTAAGCTCCCCCCCCATGCCCTACCCTGATGGGTTATGCACAAAACGGAATGATTTCAACTAAATGACTGTAGAAGGGGAAAGCTGCGGCATATACAGGAACACGGGCGTAGCAGAGGGGGATTTTGCTTTAAAAACCTTGTGGCTGGTAGCACGACAGGGCGGACTACGTGGTGAAATAATAAACATCTTTGGACTGGACGCCTCATATAATTTCGATCGAACTTCCTTAAGGTAAGTTCATTTGATCGTTAAATTATTCTTATAATAAAGGAAATATATGCTAGTTGAGTGGATGATTAGAAAAATTGACCAATGGTCAGTCAAAAAATTTGATGACATCTGTTTAAATTTTATAAAATCAAGGAGCATTTAAATGTCATGATTTTTGTCTGACTGATGAAAGTGAAGTAATTGTTGTCACACCATTTTTTGATTGATTGTATATCACTAGCAATTTTTCTCTTAATTTCATCTGTGCCTTATCAAAGTATTGTGGTATCATCATCAAAAACTACAAATTTGCCATTCATATTTAAATTTATTAAACAATTGATATAGAATAAGAATAGGATCGTACCTAATACTGACCCTTGAGGTAATAATTTCTTGCGCCTGAGAAAAGATTGAAGCACTCATTGAACGTTATTGCCTCCAGTGGCGTGCAGAAAAAATTTGCTACTTTAACATTCAGTAATTCAAACCGAATCCAAGTTACTACTCTTAATATATTGGTGTATTCCAGTGGCGTATCACCAAAAACATTTTTTGGTTTGATAAGAAATGTAAATAACTTGAAAAATTACATTTTTCAAAATGATGGCCAACACTGCTGCTATTCATCTTTTATCTGCAATTTTTTATCATTCTCATTCAGCATTGGCGTACGCGTCTTCATTGGAGATGTTTTCCAAAAGGTAATAGACTTTAATAATCTTTTAAACAAGTCAGTCCGTCTAAGAAAAAAATGAAACTTGTAGTACTGGGAAGTAAAAAATCATCAAAGGGTATAGACATTTCCGATTTATTTCGAAACCTATAATTTGAAAGGTGCACGACTTAGATTTTTTTTATATTTTTGTGATAACTATTAGGTATGACTTAGCCTATCCCCGTTGCGGGGTTGTATCGACTTCTGGGACACCCTGCATACATAAGTTAGAACTTCCTTCTTTTTGACACATTGAGGTAATTGATGTGTTTTTGTCGTAGTTACCTGAAGTAGAGGCCGCTGGACTTTTTTCAAGTTAGTCATCCAAAAACGCTGCGCCCTTCTAGCGATTAGGGCCGCCCTAATGGCGTTCTCGAACACTTCGTTAACTCCATAGTAGGTAAGTACCTTAAAATAAAAGTTACAATAGTTTAATAGTAATAATTTATATAGTACTCTTGATTGGATTATCAGCATGTAGTTAGTGGTAGACGATTATTCATTACTTTTACATGTACGGACAAGCGCGTATCCAGCTCAAAACGGAAAGAGGGGGAAGGGCACATTAAAAAATGTTTTTGATGGAAGTTACATAAGTTATATCTACACAGTGGCGTAGCAAGGGAGGCGGCGAGGGCGGTCCGCACCGGGTGTCACCTTTTTTGGGGTGACACCCACCCGCTGACTCAACTTTAAGAACAATGTACGAGTACATACGAGGGATGTCTTTTAAGTTTTGCATATGGAAATAAAACAACACGGTAGGTAGTTTTAAATGACTTTATTGTTTTTCGAAGTATTCTCCACGAAGATTAATAGATTCCAGTCACCAGACGAAGCAGTTGACGCATTCAAAAATGCCGTTTTGGATCTTCCAGCAAACGAGTGGAATAAGCGCTTCGAAAATTGGTTCGAGTGCATGCAGATGTGTATTAATCTTCGTGGAGAATACCTCGAAAAACAATAAAGTCATTTAAAACTACCTACCGTGTTGTTTTATTTCCATATGCAAAACTTAAAGGACATCCCTCGTAAATAACTAAAATTTGGAATTGTCAATGTGTGACATATTATACATTTTTGTAATCAGAATTAAAAAATTAGTTCATCTGTTCAAAACTCAGAACTGGAAGTCACCTGCGTTATTCCAATACCAACTTAACATTCTTAAAATGTTTTTCAAGAGCAACTGGTCACAGAGCTGCCCAAAAACTGGGATTCAAGACTTACAAGGTAGGCTTTTGCAGAGGGGAAACAGTGACAATTGCTATATGCAAATTATATTGAAATCCCATCTCAAATAAAGCCAGGAAAAAAATCATTTTGCGATAAATCTGGTAAGCAAAACAATCCGATAATTTTTTTAAACGTTTTCGTTTGGCACTGTCAATTTGTGACTTATTATACATTTTTGGAATCAGAATTAAAAAAATTATTCATCTGTGCAAAAATCCAATATGGTCTTCATGAGAAAAAAATCGAGGAAAAATAAAGTTGATGCTGGAGGTCAAAGGACAAAACGTTATACTGAAATTTTCATTATCTCATCTTGTAGAGGAGAAAGAATAGAAATGCTAATGTTTTATTTATTTTGAAATCCCAATTAAGTCAGGAAAAAAATAGAACGATTTTGAGAAAACTCGTTTTTTTCGGTCTCTCTCCGGAAGTACTTTGAATTTTTTAGCGGCATTTTGTTGATTACCTAAATACGCAACTTTGCCTCTATTTAAGCGACTTGGTATCTGTTATAGTTTCCGAGATCGCAATAGTGAGTGTCGAATTTAAAACACTCCATTCTCGCCTTTAGGACATGGAAAAGCGGGGGAAAGGCATAACCTATCAAATGATAGAGACGACGAAGTGCTTATGTAACCCTTAAAATCACACTCCCCCAATTAGCTCTTGGTTCCATGGAAAAACTAATGGGTGATTTTTTGCTAGTATCTTTTTGGCAACACTGTTTTTGACAGATGACGCGTGAATCGTGTCTTGTGTCATTGTCAAACTTGTTCAGTTTGGTCTATAATTTAACCATGAATCGACTTACGAACGAACAATGCTTGCAAATTATTGAATTTTACTATCAAAATTCATGCTCGGTTAAGAGAGTGCATCGAGCACTGCTTCCAATTTATGGGCAATTTGGTCGGCCTACTGAGGGAGCTATTCGGAAGCTTGTGACTAAATTTCGAACCCAGTTTACATTATTGGATATTAAACCACCAACACGCAGACGCAGAAAATATTGCGGCTGTATCCGCCAGTGTTAGTGATGACCGTGAAATGCCGATTCGCCGCCGTTCGCAGCAATTGGGCCTCTGTTACTCCACTACGTGGAAAATTTTGCGACAGAATTTGGGTGTAAAACCTTATAAGATACAGCTGGTGCAGGAATTGAAGCCACACGACCTTCCACAACGTTTCCAATTTGGTGAATGGGCGCTGGCAAAGTTGGAGGAAGATCCACATTTTTATCGAAAAATTGTGTTCAGCGACGAAGCTCATTTCTGGTTGAATGGGTACGTTAACAAGCAAAATTGCCGCATCTGGAGTGAAGACCAACCAGAAGCATTGCAAGAGCTACCAATGCATCCCGAAAAAATCACTGTTTGGTGTGGATTATGGGCCGGTGGCATCATCGGGCCGTACTTCTTCAAAGACGACAATGGCCGGAACGTAACTGTGAATGGCGAGCGCTACCGTGCGATGATAACAAACTTTTTTTTGCCCAAAATGGAAGAGCTGGACTTGGCTGACATGTGGTTTCAACAAGACGGTGCCACATGCCACACCGCACACGAAACAATGGCCCTATTGAGAGGCGAGTTCGGTGAACAGTTTATCTCACGTTTTAGGCCCGTCAATTGGCCGCCTAGATCGTGTGATTTAACACCGTTGGACTATTTCTTGTGGGGTCATGTTAAGGCCGATGTCTACAGGGATAAACCAGCAACGATTGACGCACTGGAAGCCAATATTGAAGCATTTATTCGTGAGATACCGGCCGATATGTTGGCGAGAGTGTGCCAAAATTGGACCTTGCGCATGGGCCATCTAAAGGGGAGCCTCGCCCAACATTTACATGAAATAATCTTTAAACATTAAATTATATCGACCGTTCTATCGACTAAAATAAAGATTTAATCGTTTTTTTCAAATTTTTTGTTTTTTTTTGAAAATCAAATCCTATACCTCTTAAAAAATCACCCGTTACATAATGTTCACACGTATTTGCCAATCCCTTACCGAAGTCTCGTAATAAAAAACCCCCAGCTCCCTGGCGACATCCCTTGCCTCGTCGGGCATGACGAGGTCCGATTTCCTGGTGGCCCTGACGAACGGGCTGCGGTCTCTGAAGTAGCTGAGGTAGGCTTCGTCTCGGTACATGTACCGCAGGTCGTTCTTGCAGCCGACCAGCAGCACGGGCGTGGACGGGCAGAACCGCCGGATCTCCGGGTACCACATCAGACGGCAGTTGCGAAGGCTCACCGGGCTGTTCACGCTGAAGCATAACAGCACCTGAAATAATTTTCGTATAGCAAATAAATATTCGCAAACGGCACACATATACTAAGTGACATATAAATCCGAACACCCAGTTTAAATGGTTTTATTTTAATAAAAGTTGGTGAATGTATTTATCTTACTGTAAATAACAAGTGAAAAAATTTTCAGCCTTATCAGTTGGACATTCCGGTTTTTATACTGCTTTTTTTTCTAAAAATGATTATTTCAGCCGCAGTAAAGAATCAACGTTGGCGGATTTTGGTTCTTGACATCCTTTACGATCGGTTACGATGCCTAGAGTACGGAGACCTGTACGATTTCGTCAACTTAGTGAGTTTGATAGGGGCCGTATAGTGGGACTTCGGGAAGCTGGACTTTCTTTTCGGGCAATTGCAGTTAGAGTGCAAAGAAGTGTAGACACTGTGGTTAGGTGTTGTCAGGCATGGCTTCGAGAAGGCCGTACGCAAAGAGCAAGGGGCACTGGACGCCGCCGTAGAACAACAGACCGTGAGGGACCGTTTCTCCACTACCAGGTCCATTGCAAATGAATGGTTTGCAGACCACGGAAGACCTATTGGCATGCGAAGTGTTTACTGACGAATGAGAAGTTTTGGCTTGTTTTCATACCGGCCACACTGGGTCCTCCCTTTAACTCGAGAACACCGACGTAATCGCCTTGAGTGATGCAGACAACGGTCACTCTGGGATCAGGAATGGAACAGTATTGTCTTTAGTGACGAGTCTCGATTTTGTTTAGGCATGCACGATGGTCGTGCCAGGGTTAGAAGGCGACGTGGTGAAAGGAGGAATCCACAGTTTTTTGTTGAAAGACATGTTCATCACACTGTTGGAGTTATGGTTTGGGGTGCTATAGCTTATGGTTCCAGGTCACCTTTAATCTTCATCTGAGGTAACATGAACGCGCAGCGTTATATCCACGAAGTTCTAGAACCCCACCTTTTACCCTATCTTGACACCCTGGCAGATCCAACTTTCCAACAAGATAATGCCCGACCACATGTTGTAAGAGTCACAATAGACTTCTTTCAACATAATGATGTCACATTGTGACCATGGTCACCAAGATCTCCCGACTTATCCCCAATTAAGCACGTGTGGGATATGATGGGTAGGAGATTGCTCAATTTGCAACGTCCTCCTCAGACTCTAGAAGCACTTCGAGAGGAGTTGGTGGTTGGCTGGAATGAGATACCACAGGAGGACATTGACCACCTGATCAGAAGCATGCCTAGGCGCGTTGGAGAATGCGTAGCACATCAGGGTGCATCCACACATTACTAAAGGTCCAAGGGCTTTAAAGCAGTGCAATCATTTTGAAATTTTTATCATTTACTTATTATGCTTCATTAAGTACTTATACAAAATTTTATTAAAATAAAACCATTTAAACTGGGTGTTCGGATTTATATGTCACTTAGTATAGTTTAGTAAAAATTCATAACCTGTGCATCCTGAACACGGTGGCCAACTAAGAATGTACTGTGGGAACCTATCCGTTGTAGAGGCTTGCGGGCAAAAACAGTTATTACTGAAACGGCCAAGAGAACAAGTTGAAAATATTTTCAATTTTCTGAAAAGGCCGCAAGGGAGCGTAACCGCAATCTTGAGTCTCTTGTTTGACCATTTTTGCTGTATCTCTAAAAATAAAGCGGTGATGGTATTCAAAGGTTTTTTATATCTAAGCAGCCACGCAGGCAGAAGCCTAAGTGCCTGAACACCGCGGCTGCTATGATGATCCCAAAGAAATTTTGTTAATACGATTTTTGAACTGCCTAAGGTTAGTAGAACTGGGTAAAGCTTCCTCTTGTAGATTGTTCCACAGTCTGGATGTACGAAGCTCGACACGGTTAGGATGGGACGCCAAAGTTAGGCGGGTCTGTCTGGCAGGCACATCGCGCGGCGGCATCATGGAAGAGAGCTCCGAGGAGCAAAGCCCGTTGGTGTAGCGGTAGAAAAGAGCTAGATTCAGATTCAGATTCATTTATTGATCCAGTTAGATCTACATTGTAGACATTGGATAAGTCGGTGTATACAGATTAAAATATAGATAAAAGGAAGTAAAATACAAATAACAATAAGAACATAAAAAAACATATGATACACACATGGCAATAAATTATTTGTTAAGATCTATCAGAAGCACTGTGGAATGTGACAAATTCACCTAGGTCATAAAAACCGCAGTTCGATAGCTTGTTCCGCAAACGTCTTTTGAAAAGCCCTACGGAGTTTACGTTTTTGATCTCCGGGGGTAATAAATTAAAAAAGTATATTCCTGCTGTTTTGGGAGATTTTGAATGAAACGTATGATATGACATATGCCTACCTATATTATTTTTATTACGAGTGCTGTAGTCATGGATGTCAGTATGCTTAAGATAATCATTTCTGTGCTGAAAAATATATGTTAAAAGATTATAAAGATATATACATGCTACTGTAAGTACTTTGTGTTTAACAAATATCTCACGGCAGGAAGATCTGGACCGTATTTTAAATATAATGCGAATGATTCTTTTTTGTAAGACAAACACTCTAGAGATTTCACTAGCCTGGCCCCACGCAGTAATGCCATATGAAATGACAGAGTGTACACATGCATAGTATACATCCATTAATGCTGAGGTGTTTAACATCCTCCCTAGCGTAAATATTAAATACAGACTTTTTACAAGTTTCTTACATACGGAATCAATTTGCTCTGTCCATCATTTGTGTCGTCTGCATACAAAAGTAATTTTCCGTAGGATAAGTGGGCAAGCAAATCATTTATGAAAATCGAGAAAATAAGTGGTCCAAGGACGCTGCCTTGAGATGTGCCCCAATCTAAATTGAATTCATCAGATTTTTTATCAGCGACAGTAACATAAAATTTTCTATTCTCTAAAAAGCTAACTAGCCATTGATTCAAACATCCGCGAATGCCAACATGATGAAGTTTATCGGCCACAAATGACGAACTTACACAATCAAAGGCCTGAGACAAGTCAAATTGGATACTCACTACGTAATTACCTAAATCAAGTTTATCACAAACATACTGAACATACTCGATAATGCTTGTGTCAGTTGAGTAGCCTGCCCTGAAACCATGTTGAGCATATGTGATAAAAGCAAATTTAAGAAAGTAATTTTCAATTTTCATTGCAACCACTTTTTCAATGATTTTCGAGAAAATACTTAATAGCGCGATTGGCCTATAGTTTTCAACATCACAATTTTCACCTTTTTTAAATATCATAATTAACGATGCCAGTTTAAGATATGTTGGAAATTTACCAGCAGCAACCGATTCATTAATGATCTCTGCTAATACTGGGGCAAAGATATCCATGTTCTGTTTTACTAAATAGATTGGAATTTCATCAGGCCCTGACATGGATAATGTAGTCGGGGTGGCAGCACCCCAAATGTGTGAGCAATACTCGATGCCTTGTCTGGGCCTTGTATAGAGTGAGAAGGTCATGCGGAGAAAAGTACTTCTTAGCCCTATTGCTGCTATTGACGACATGTGTTCGTGCCAGATCAGGTCCTCGCTGATCTGGACTCCGACCAGCCGAAATGAATGGCTCTTTGACAGAACTCGGCCATCCATCGAAACCAGATGAGCGCTAGGACGCTTTTTGTTCGTCAAACTACAGTACAGTGTTTTGGAAGCATTGAACTGGACAAGATTGTTGCGTGCCCAAGCAGGGATAGCTTCCAGATCTCGTGTCTTCCGCATTGGCCTTTGAGTCGAATACAATCGTTCCATCCTGACACGTAAGTGGTGGGTGGCTATTGGGTGAGAAGTTCTTTTCAATCTGCTTGGCCAGCGTCCAGAAAGACCGACTGCGTTTGCACTGCGACATTACCCTATGCCTAACTTTAATATCGTGCTGGTTCTTGGCATTGCGAACCGCTTCCTTATATTTGTTTCTGAACTCGATGTCGGCTTGCCTGTTCTCTACAGTGGGGTTTTGTAAGAAGGTTCTGTGTGCTTTGATCTTCTGCTGGCGAGCAGTGTCACACGATTTGTTAAATCAGCCGTTAGACCCTGGTTTAGGCACTTTCACTGTGTGAGGGATGTATTGTTCCATTACGACGTGGATAAGAAACAGACATCTCTCCAAGGAAAGATAGAGAAGAAGTCTCTGAGCCCCTCCCAGTCGGCATGTCCGAAATGCCAAGTTTTGCGGCCTGTACGAGTTTCTGCTATCACAGCGGATTCTGACCGAAACTTAACCTCCACAACATCGTGGTCTGAGTTACCCAGGGGGGACAGGACAGCAGTGCGTGGTCAGAAAGAGATCCAGCAGGCTACTGGCGTGCGACGAGACGCGGGGGAAAAAAGTAGGGCTCGTCACCAGCTGGGTCAGCCCTTGAGTAAGGGCGAACGCTTCGACTGCACGACCTGCTGCATCGGTCTTGTTTGAGCCCAACCATAGCTCATTATGGGCATCGAAATCACCGAGAAGAACTACCTCTGAAGCGGGGTGATTGATGTTCAGGAGGTCGATCTTGACGGCAAGGTATTCGAGTAGGTCATCCCAGTTATAGTCCAAAGGACAGCGATAAAGGCAGCAAATAAATTTGGCTTATAACAAACGTTATATTATTTGAAGTTTTGTTAGTTTCACATATGGCCGCTAGATCGTTTTGTCGATATTCTGACAGAAATGGTTAATTTTCTTAAGTAAATAAATGCATTAGTATGATTTTTTTTAGCAAAAATCAGTTAAATGATATCTAAATAAGCTCGTGAAAACCGCATCTTTATTCCTAACCTAAAATTTTGGCAAAAGAAATGTTTATACGGAAATTCCTTGAATTTTTCTGAAATTTCTTTTTATAATTGAGTTGTGGCCCTAAAAGGGGCCGATTTAAAAAAGAAAGGTTTTTAACGCCCCCGTGAATGCTCGAAATGCTGACCATTACACTCTATGCATTCCTGAAGCCTCTCATGCTCTCATGCTTCAATTTCGGCTCTCGGTATGTTATTATTGTATCGT